ATTGAAATTAGTATTACTTTTCTCTCATTTTTCATATATATCACAAAAGATACTTTTAATTCGGTATTACTGTCATATACTTAATTAATAATTGTTGAAAAATAAAGTAGAAAATATTGACTAAATTTTGATATTTTAGAAGAATGTTTTTTTTGTACTATAGTAGTTGACATTTAAGGGTTAATCTTTTGTCTGTAATGTAGTAAGTGGAATATTAGGCACATAAGAGTATCAGAAGTCATATAGGTCATAAAAGTTGAATAATTTAAAATTAGATGTACTCTGTGAAGGACACAGTTGTGTTTCTTATCGTTTTTTGTACCTGAAAAGAGCGTCAAAGCATAAAAGAACAGTTAAGAAGAATTTTTATTGCCATCGTTAAATGAATAATTACTTCCTGAAAAAACAGTTAATATTTTTAGCCGATAAGCATAAAATCACAAATTTTTGGAATTTGTTTACTTTTAGAAAGCTAAAGGATGTTTTTTGATGAAAAGTTAGTTACTCATCGTAAAATGAATTCATTTTAGAAAAATACTACCAGCGACTATTATTTATCACTGCCTTTTATTTTTAATACAATTTGATCTTGTTTCCTTATGCTTTCTGTGCTCAAGGATGACTAGACGAGGATAACTTCGTCTTTCATTCATTCATAGAATAAAGCATCTTGTGATTTACTAATTTTTCTCCCGTATTGATTTGAATTTCTGAAGTAAATTCTTTCATATATTTTTTAAAATTTGATTCACTCAATATTTGTCATGTTGTATAGTTAGATAAAGCTTAAAAAATAGAGAAAATGATTATTGAATCTCGAGGATCTCCTCAAAGTTTGCATGAAATATTGAAAAATTTCTTCATCAAGGTAATAATTTATACAGTTATTAAAGTAGATTAAAATAACATCAATAAGTATTGAAATACTCATGGTTATAATCAGAGAAGTGTGTCATGTACTTCCACAATTTCCGTTTGATTATTATTATTTTTGTGATAAACAATACTTCAGTCTGATTGTTTTTTGTAAAATTTTCAAATCTAAATCTGATATTAAATTTTGTAATAAATATTTGTAAGTAAAATGTAGATATTCATAAATGGATGAATGATTAGTTTCGAGTTGCGTAAATCACAGTCCGATTAAATTTGCATATTTAATCTCCATGAAAGTGTTTTCAGCATTATTAGTATTTGGTTATTTTGGACTGATCAAATTTTTCTTCAGCAATTGCTGCTTCTGTGCAAATACACAGATTAAATAATGTCGCCGTTTATTTGTTTTGAAGAAAATTAGAGGAATGAAAGGCAAAGTTTAAATAATTAATTACTTAGTACTGATCAGACAGACACTGACGAACTTTTTAAATTCATTCTTATTTCTTTTATTTTATTGTAATTTACTTCCTTTTGCTACAACAATGGTCTTGACGTTGATGTGATTAATGTTAAGAATTAAAATAAATGTGTAAATATTTGTTTGAATTGCAGTAATGCTGCTTAATCATTGACTAATGTTATAGCTAGTTTTTTTTTAAATTACTGTATTGCTATCAATTCTAAAAAAGAAACTGCAGGCAAATGCAATTTTCCTGCCGTTTTCTTGAAATCATTTTGTCATTAAAGTATCAAAAAAGCAATAAATAACGGATAATTAAGGATCGCGAATAAAGATTATCACGGAAATTGATATATTTTTTGGAGAAAGGGAAAGAAATCTAATCAACAATAAAAATGGCAGTTGTCTGGTTTATTTCTGCTTTCACGTTATACAGAAGCTTTTACAGCGTGAAAACTTGGCTACACTCAAAACGCTGTCTATTTGCAAATCGTTCAGACAGAATTCCAAATTACTTACTTCTATTCCTTATACTACTCGTAGAGCCTAGATATTTACATTTTTGACTGCATATTTAAGATACTAGCACTCATTGATACTGATGATAAGGACGGAGATAATGATAGTGATTGATGATAGTGGAAATTATTAATTTGACTGATGATAATAAAGCTCTACCAAATGTTCACTGTCTATTTGCTTATTTGTTTAGCAAAATGATGATAATTTGTAATTTTTTCTCTTTGCAAAATCTTCCATCAATGTACTATTACTAAAGCTGATGAATACCTTGCATTTCAATCTATTACATTCCCTTACGTGGCAAGTATTCAATCGCTATTTGTCCTTACTGACTAAACCATCATTTTAGATTAGTGTATTTCCACTACTATTATTATTTATGAGAGGAATAGAAGAAAATGGAAGAGTGATTCAATAATAAAGCTAGTATTAACTGTGATTTAAAGAATCAAAAAAAATGTGTAAAGATTTAGTATGGAAGGGTAAAAATGTTGTACTCAATGTACTGGCAGATTCAGTATAGAAGGCTAAATATACTGTACTTGATGTACCGCCAATGTATCCAAACGTTTTGATTCTATCTTCAATAAGTATGTTTCATTAAAAAAATTGGTCGTTTGCTGCTCCTGTGACTTTTCCGTAACAAATTATTAATATGTCTTTGGGCTTATCTTATTGCACTAATAATTTACAAAATAAATTACTAAGATGATCAAGTATAGTGAGAAGGATTCGTAATTTGTAAAGATTTGATTTTGATAATTACTGGTTATATGATGTTATTATAGTCGTAATTTATAATTTATTTACACAAATTTGGTCACGCTTTGTGTTGTTGCTCTCAGACTGGATCGTCACGCTCACCTTATGACAAATTTCGCGTTTTGCAACTCGTAAATAATCTATTTTATGCATCAGAAAAAAAAATATTACAAAATTTTATTATTTAGCTTGCAAATTAATGATTATTTCCATAAAAAATATGATTAGATATGCAAATGTGCTTGGCAAGGAGCAATCATCCCTCAGCTTCTTCGTATTTTTGCATAAGGGAAGCTTATGAATAATTTTGTATCTTACAAAAGGTCTCATTTTAATATCTTATGCAATAAATATTCATTTTTCTTATGAAGAGCGCTTGCAAGGAAGCATTTGCGCCTAGAATGCAAGATTGGTGTGCTTTACGTGAGTTCAAATTGAAATAGATGGAATAAAGTTATCAGAAAATTGATATTCGAAGTGATATGTTGTCAGTTCTAAGCTGTGCAGCAGATAAAAGTTTTACAAGTTCACTCATGTCGAAGTCAATTAGAATTCAAACAGTGCTTTCTCATACTTTTCAAATTTTTTGCTAAAGAAAAGATATGAAGTAAAGTTTTGCAACTTTTCAAAAATTTGCATCTTTTGCAACGGAAAGTAGAAAGCTTGAAAATTCCTTTTTCTAAACTGAATACAACTTCACACACTTTGTATTCATCCATCTAATAAAATCACTGCGAGCGTTTTTTTTCACCTGTCAGTCTTTCTTACCATTATTATCAAGATTCAAAACAACATCAGTCACTTTGCATTTTAATTAGAAATCGTTATCGAGACCGATAATCAATTCGCATGCAATTTACATATCGCGTCAGTTGATTCTCTCTTGCTGAAAGAATCATTATGAAGTAATCTCTTAATAGATTATCTGATGTTATTTTCAGAAGCAAAATAGAGCATAGAAGCAAATTTCACAACTGAAAGGGTCATCAGGTTCAATTAGTTTTACAAAAGGTCACTGAAATCTTGAGAGTTTTTCTATCATTGGACAGCTTATAATTATGGTAGACATTGCGAAAAAAGTGAAGAAACTTGCGACAATACAATTATTCAATCTTAAAGTTCTTCTAAATGGTTATTTTCAGTTGATAATTTTTTGCTTGCGATTATATATGCATAAAAACTTTTTTTTTGTTATAAAAACAAAAAATTTCAAATTGGTAGAATCAGTCTTGTAGATAAATTATTTGTAATTAATGAAAGTAGGCAAACAGCCAATACTTTAGAGAATAGATAACATATTTATATTTAATTCTCAATATATAAATGATATCCGTACATTTATTTGATAATTTGATTGAAATTTATGAAGCGAAATTGTCGTCAGGTCATGGTTTGTCTAATTTCAAGAAACACTACAAACTAAAAGGAGAACTTGGTCGAGGTGGTTTTGGGATTGTTTATCGTGGTATTCGCATCCATGATGATCTTCCAATAGCTGTCAAATTTATCAATCGCAATCAAGTCCGCGATTGGGGAAAAGTATTCCTTTGAAATAAACACCTTAGCTTCGGCATTGTTTTTTTTTTCAAATTTTTTCACAAATCAAATACAATGTTTTTTTGTAGTTAGAAGATGAACGACTACCGATGGAAATTTGCATGCTGTCACAGTGTGAGAATATCTCAGGAGTGATTAAGTTACTTGATTGGTATAGCATGCCAGAAGGTTTTCTTATTGTGATGACACGTCCATATCCATGCGTTGATCTCTTTGATTTTATCAAAAGTCATAAAAAATTAGATGAAGATGTATGTTTTCCAGAGAATAATAATTAAAGCTTTTCCTTATAAAGCTTTCATCTGAATTATTTTTGATCCAAAATTTTTCCAGCTTGCACGATTTTTATTTCGACAAATAGCTTTAACTATCCACGATTGTAATCAGCAAAAAGTATTACATCGAGATCTCAAGGTCAAGCTTGTTCTGTTTACTGATGGTTGTTGGATTATTTTTTTAAACCCGTTGTACTTTGTGGAATTTATCCATGAACTGTTTTTATATAATTCTGAGATAGCGATACGGATGCGGTAGGTAAAATCAATAAACAGTTACAGTTTTGGTTGTACTGTAGTGCATTGACCAACTATTTAGTCCAATCTAAAACATATTAAAACTGAAGAGGTTGTGTTCTGTCAAATTTTGTTGATTAAAATAATTTGATATGTTCCAGGACGAAAATATAGTAGTAGA